CATGGTTCAATTGGTTATGCAAATGAAGGGTTGTGTTTGTACCAACCATAGGTCTTCTGTTGGGCCAAAGAAGTGCCAGCTGGGGTAAGAGTTTCATAGGAGATGCTTGCGAGAGTGTGTGTTCTGGATTTGGACTTGTGCCTTGAGTATTGGTATGAGGGTAGTCTAGATGTTGGTTGGTACTCCTCCAGGCCCTGGAGAATAGTTTGCAGTTAGCAATTAGGAAGTCTCCCTAACTCCCAACATTTTAAAGAGAAAAGTAAACTTTTAAGATGGTGTTGAGTGCTGGTGGATCATGCCTATAATCCTTATTGGGTGGCTGTGCAGTTCAAAGCCAGCCAGGATACAAACATCCATGAAATTCTTATCTCTAGTTAACCACCAGAAAACTGGAAGTGAAGCTGTGGCTCAAGTGATATAGTGTGTGAAAAAGTTCAGGGGCCAGGCCCTGGTGGCTCATACCTGTAATCCTAGCTACTCAGGAGGCTGAGATCTGAGGATCATGGTTCAAAGCCAGCCTGGGCAGGAAAGTCCCTGAGATTCTTATTTCCAATTAACCACCAGAAAACTGGAAATGACACTGCAGCTCAAGTGGTAGAGTGCCAGCCTTGAGCTGAAGAGCTCAGGGACAGCAGCACCTAGGCCCAGAATTCAAGCCCCACAACTGACCAAAAAAAAAAGTTCAGTGACAGCTTCCAGGCCAAGTTCAAGTCCTACAACCAAGAAAAAAAAGAGAAGCAGCCCAGGAATAGTGCCCAGGCCCAGAGTGTAAATCACCACTGCACGCGTGTGCACATGCACACACACACACACACACACACACACACACACACAAATGGTGCTTACAACAAAGGCTTATGAATAGCAATACTTTAACAATATTTAACAGTGCTCTAACAGTAGCTAACTTATCTCCTAGGAAGAGGTGTGTCCCAGTCATCTGTTTCAATAGGAAAAACTGGCTGTGGAGTATATTGGAACTCTGTAATCTTTAACTTATAAAATGAAACTTTTATAAAAGAAATAAAGGATATCTGGGATAAAAGTTTCCAACTTCATAAATATGTTTTGTTTCTGGCAAAGTCATGGTACAGTAACAGTGACCTTCAGTAACTTTCAATGTTGCACAGATTCCACTGTTGCTAATAAGGAGTCAGATCTCAATTTTGGTTTTGAATTATTCACAGTAACCTATCTTTTTTCTTCTTTGGATATTTTTTTAAATCCCTTATTATTTATTTATTTTATTTTATATTGGTGCAAGTCCTGCAGTTTGGACTTAGGGCCTGAGTGCTGCCCCTATACTTTTTTTTTTGCTCAAGGTTAGCACTGTACCACTTCTAGGGTTTGTTGATTAATTAAAGATATGAGTCTTACAGACTTTCCTCCTTGGGCTGGCTTTGAATCTCAATGCTCAGATCTCAACTGCCTGAGTAGTTCGGATTACAGTTAGGAATCACTGGTGCCTGTCTCTTTTATGGTCTTTGTTTTACATGTATGAAGCAAAGTTCTTTCATAAACTAAGCCTGGTAATTATAAAATATCATTATTTTGTTCCTGTCAATTATCTAGAGAAGTTTTTCCTTGTCTGTTAATTTTATTATGACTTTGATATTCCTTGGAAATACTTCTAAGAATTATAGAAGGTCAGTTACAGAGGCATGTTCTACCAAAAAGGATTTATGTTTGCTACAATAAAGTTCTAGGGCACTGACAGCAAAGACTTTGAACTATGTTGTCAGCTTGAATATTTTGGGATCATGTAGATGATATGAATGTAGATATAAATTTGTCTGATGACCATGTACGAACTGATGTATCGCCAGCAGAGGTAATTATCTGTCCTCTTCTCCTTTTCTCATTATAAAGTCAAATCGCCTTGCTGTCCTCTGGGACTTGGACTGGTTGAATCCTTTTCTCATCTGGCTTCATGTAGGAAGGGATCCACATTTTGGCTTCTGAGCTCTGTGTCCTGGCAGTTCATCAACTCAGATACTAAATTCATCTGATTTAGAAGTTGTCCTCTTACAGAATCCACTTCAGCATTCTGTTGACCTCGCTGAATGTACTTTCTTTTATAGGTTAGTTTTATCTTCATCTGTTATGAGCTACTGTGTAGAATTTGATTTTATATTCTGCCCAAGTAGAGTGATTTTTTTCTAAGCTATCATATTACTGAGTGGAACATTGATAGGGATTTTGAAAAGCAAATCAATATAGAATAGTAAAGAATATAGACTCGGGAGTCAGACTGTCTGGCTTTATATTATGTATCATGAATCTAGTTTTATCTACTGTGTGGTTTGGGTCCAGTCATTTCACTAGATTTCACTTTTCTCATCTTTGGCATGAGGAATGTGATAGTATTTTTCTCATACTGTAAGGAGGGCAGTACACTTTGTTACTTGATAATTACTAAATGTTAGTCAAGATCATTATGATTGTAAGAGAGGATCTAACAAATGTGAAATTATAGGGAGAGAGAGAATGGGGTAAAATACAAATTTGAGGTAAAATAATAAGATTTTTTCCTTCTGAAAGACTTGCTGTGTATTATGTAGTATAACTTACCTATTTTCTCAAAACATCTTCAATAAAGATCTCCATTACTTTCCTATTTATTTTTGACAGTAAGGTGTGTGTGTGTGGGGGGTGTTACTGCCAAAACTGGTTTCCAGATGTTCAATCCTTATTACATATGTATATATCTCACAAGGAACAGCAACGTCACCGCAGAGGCTGTTAAATTAAGTAAGCAATTCCATTGCATTGGCATTGCTTTTAACCTATAGTAGGTGCTTAAAACACCAGAACAACTAGAATAAAAAGAAACAAAGTGGAACAAATTTTTTTTTACTTAGGAAAGAAAAAAATAGATGTTAGGTCTTCATAATGTAATCACAATAAGAAAATTTCCATTCTAATTCTACCCCCTTTCCTTTTTCTTTTTGGTACTGGAAATCCAACCCAATTCTTAGACATGCCAGATACCTGCTCTGCCACTGAGGAAATCCTCCAGCCCACTTCCTAAACTTTTCAAAACATCTTAGTCATTGATGTTATTATTGTGTTGATAGGGGCTTAACCTCAGGGGCCCTGACTGTTAAGTCTTATTTTTCACCCCAAAGCTGGTACTCTACCAGTTGAGCCTTACCTCCACTTCTGGCTATTTTTGTACTTCGTGGAGATAGGAATCTTTCCTGCCCAAGCTGGCTTTCAACCATGATCCTCAGACCTTAGCATCTTGACCCATCATTTTCTAATTACAAATGTGAATGTGATCAACGCAGAAGATTCAGAAAACCTGGAGAAGACTATCTCCACCCCTGCACTGTTGACATCATGGGCAGGATGCTTCTCTGTTGGTGGCTTCTCTGCTGCATTATATTCTGCAGCTAAAGTAGCCTGGACCCACCAGATACCATACCCCCAAACCCTAACCAAGGCAGCCAAGACAACCAAACAGGACTCCGCATCTCACCAAGCATCCCCTGGAGAGATGTTCTGTCCCGGTAACTTCTGTATTAGAGGAATAACAGCAATAATGACAAAAGTCATCTGTAATCCTACCACCTAGAAATAGAAACCTTTCACTTTCATAAATACAAATTACAAAATATGGTCATATTGAACTTACTGTACTATAGTTAACCTGATCTTCTCAATAATATAGTACCTATACTTTGGCTCTGTAATATCTATTCCTCTATAATTTTTTTGTGTGTGCCCATCCTGGAGCTTGGACTCAGGGATTGGGTGCTGTCCCTGAGCTTTTTTTGCTCAAGTTATTCCTATCTCAAGTCTAACTCTACCACTTGAGCTCCACTTTTGGCTTTTTGTTGGTTAATTGAAAAGAAGAATTCCATGGACTTTCCTGCCTGAGCTAGTTTAAACCAGCTCTTTAGATCTCAGAGCCACATACCAGCTTGCTCTATAACTTTTAAGGAATGTACTAACTTTTAATGAATACATTGTACTTTACATAACAAATCCTGAAGTATTTGAAAATTTGTTTCAAATAACATTACACTAAACAGTGAGTAGCCAGATTGCTTTTCAAATTACATGTAAAGTTTCTAGTTAAAAATTAGCTTTAAGTAGTTACATAAAGGGGTTTCATTTTAATGTGTAAGTTTGTGAGCACAATGTATCTTGATCGGTGTCAAATCCTTTCCATCCTCACTTATTTATGTAATTCTATTTTCACATATCTACAATGATTTTTTTTTTTTTTTTTGGCTCAGTGGTGTGGCTTGAACTGTGGGCCCGGGCACTGTCCCTGAGCTCTTTAGCTCAAGGCTAGTGCTCTACCACTTGAGCCACAGCGCCACGTCCGGTTTTCTAGTGGTTTATTGGAGATCAGAGTCTTATGGATGTTCCTACTCAGGCTGGCTTTGAACCGCGATCCTCAGAACTCAGCCTCCTGAGTAGCTAGGATTACAGGCGTTGAGCCACCGAGCCTGGCTACAGTGATTATTATGATTGAACTACTTTCCTCTCTGCACTGCTCTACCTCCTTCTCCTCACCCCCATCCTCGCACAACACATGTTCTAGCTTCCTGGCATTAAAAATAATAATAAACTATGCAATTCAAAGGAGTGACACCATTGAAACTCTCCGCTATATATAGTTTCTAAATTTGGTATCGTCCGTTGGTACAGTAATGGACTTCAGAGACCTCTACGCATCGAATTCCCTTTACTCATGATCCATTTTCAAACCAAGAAACATCTTCCAGCCATGTGTCCAGGTTCTGGCTGGCTCTGCTGACGCTGGCCCAGCTGCACCTAGGATGATTGGTGTACAGTATTAGTCCTCCACCAGCGGTAGGCGCTGTGTCAGGTGGGGGCGATTTTGGACCAATGAGAGCGCCTCTCTCCGCAGGCAACATTACGTGCCCATCCACTCTCCATCTTCCCACTGGCCTCTGGGTTTAGTAGCGTTGCTAGGAGACGACGCTCGCCGGCCGCGCTTGCGCAGTTGCGGCTGTCTGGGGCGGGCTGACGGGGCGGAGGCGCTGGTCGGTTGAGGGAGTTCCCTCAGACTCTGTCTTGGTCGCTGTCACCGCCCGGTTTTCCGTCGCTCCATGGTTCGCCGGTGAGATCGGCGGCCGGCAGTCGTCTCCTCGGAATGGAGCACATCCGGACGACCAAGGTATTCTAGGCTGTCACTCGGCGCCGGGGGAGGCGACGAGGGCGCTTGCCCGGAACTCGCCGAGCCGGGCCCGGGGCCTGGCGGGGCTCGGTGGGGGGACCTTGCCAGTTCGGATAACGGGGGACCGAGGCCTGGGCCCAGGGGGACAGGCAGCTCTGAAGCAATTTTGGGTACTTAGGGGTAAAATCTGGGGAAATGGGTCGCCGCCCTGTTAGCGCTACACTTTCTTGGGCCAGATGGGAGCCGCTTCAAGTTCGGTTCTTATTATAATCATTTGGTTCGAGTCCCGGGCTTCAATTCAGGTCCTGGGCACCGTCCCTCAGCAGTTTGTGCTCAAGGCTAGCACTTTACCACTTGAGCCACAGCTCACTTCCGGCTTCATTTTTTTTGGGGGGGGGGAGACTTAATGGAAGAGAAGAGTCTCGCCGACTTTCCTGCTTGGACTGGCTTCGAACCGTGATCCTCAGATCTCAGCCTCCCGAACAGCTAGGATGAACAGGTGTGAGTCACTTGGTCCCCCGACTCAACATGTTTTGGGGGGAAGGAGGGGGATAGTTCCAGCCGTTGGCCGCTTCCTCTACGGCAAAACCAGCGGGTCCCCAACTTCACTTTACCGTGTGTGTAAGGTAGTCTTTGCTCACGTTGCATTGTCCGGTGTCACAGATTCATGATGCAAGTTTTGGAGGAGCCGAGACCAGCAGTGGGCTCTACCTTACTCTAGACCTGGTGTTTCCGTTTGAGCTTCGAACTTGAGGCGTAGACCCGTATAGTCATTTTATAGTCACTTTAGCAGGAGTCATCCTGAGTAGGGAGGGGAAGCAGGGATGTTAAGTTTTATTTAAGGTCCAGTGGAAACTTTTCTTCTATGGAATTTAAAAAAAAAACCATGATTAGTTTTTGTATGCTAAAAGACATTTATTTTGAGGATGAGTATTTGTATGATTCTGTTAGGAAGTTAAAATGATTCTGTTAGGAAGTTAAAGATAGAAGGATGACAATAGCAGAATATCACGAGATTATGTTTTCAGCATCATTTAAGCCTAGTGAGGGAGGAAAAACTGATTAGAGGAATTGAAAAATATTTTAAGATTGTGGAGGGTCGACCAGCCAGGCACCCATTGTGAAGATACTGAAAACTAACCCTGTTTAAAAATTTTTTTTTCCTTCAAAAAACTTGAATTAAAGAATTATATTAGGGCTGGGAAGGTGGCTCAGCGGTAGACTGCTTGCCTTGCATGCCTGAGGCCCTGGGTTCGATTCCTCAGCACCACATAAGCAAAAAGAAAGAAGCTGGAAGTGGCGCTGTGGCTCAAGCAGTAGAGCGCTCACCTTGAGCTGAAGAGCTCAGGGACAGCGCCCAAGCCCAGAGTTCAAGGCCTACGACCAAAGAAAAAGAAAAGAAATGAGATGATTGACAGCTAAAGTGTTATACCTCTTTATTCCCCCAAGTGACCTGAGGCCTTAATTGTTACCGTCTTTTATTGCTGGCTGATACTCTACTGCTTTCTCTACCAGGCCTGCTGCCAGGGTGGCTTCTGTCCTGATACTGCTGCTGCTTCTGTCTTTTCTTTTCTCCCCCCAGAACTCATATAATATTTATTTAAATATATATTATTTCCTTTAGGTGGCTGTACAAAGGAGTTGTCATTCCACAGAGTAGTTTATGAACACAGTGCCTCTTCATCATTGTCACCCCTTTTAACATTCTCACCTCCATCCCTTCCTTCATTTTTCTTAATTTTTAGGTTATGTATTGAATTTTTGCCATTTAGCAAAGCAATTGATTTATACAATGTATCTTGATCTATGTCATCATTTCAACATCTTCATACCCCCTTACACCCACAACTTACCTTATTTTTCTCAGTCCTGTGGCATATACAATGCATTCTCATTTCTCCCCTTCATTCCTCTACCCCTGTCTACATGGCCCTCCCCCCCCCCTTACAAGTACCCTTTCCTAGTATCATTTTGTTAGGCATTGACTGAGTCTTTCTAAAGAATTATACTATTTGTGATCTCCATATATTCTATTATTTCAGTTAATTAGTCTCTTTGGTGCCACCCAGTATGTTTAATTCTAGATTTATAGGCACAATCTAATTCCCATTGGTGAGGGAATCCATGCAACCTATGTTTCTCTGGGTCTGGCTTACTTCACTTATTATAAACAGACTCTGCAAGCCTTTTCCTATCTTTACAAGTCTTTAAATGTCATTCTTTCCAATGGATGAGTATTCCATTGTGTACACATACCACGTTTTCTTAATTCATGCATCCATTGAGGGGCATCTGGGCTGATTCCCTATCTTGGCTATGGTAAATAATACTGCAATAAACTTGATTGTGATGGTGGTTTTAGTGTATACTTCTTGGTACTCTATTGGATAAATGCCTAGAAGTAGAATTGGTGGATCACGGGGAAGTTCTATGTTTAGTTTTTTTGTTTTTTTTGTTTTTTTTTTTT